CGTCGGCCTTCTCCGTCATCAGCTTGGAGGCCTTGAAGTAGGTCTTGATGAGCAGGTGTCCGTGTCTGGACGAGTTCCAGTAGGACCGGGGGATCTCCACCAGCCCGTAGCCCAGCAGCAGGACCAGCAGGAACAGACCCCAGGTGTTCGCTGCCGTGATCCCGATGGACTGCAGCTCGTACCTGCACACAGGAAACCACCTGATAATCTTGAGGGTCTGCAGCTAGGCTAACGTTAGCTCATCTGCACTACCTTCTACATGGTGATGGTCTGCAACTAGGCTAACGTTAGCTCATCTGTACTACCTTCTGTATGATGATGGTCTGCAGCTAGGCTAACGTTAGCTCATCTGCACTACCTTCTACATGGTGACAGTCTGCAGCTAGGCTAACATTAGCTCATCTGCACTACCTTCTGCATGGTGACGGTCTGCAGCTAGGCTAACGTTAGCTCATCTGCACTACCTTCTGCATGGTGATGGTCTGCAGCTAGGCTAACATTAGCTCTTCTGCACTACCTTCTGCATGGTGACTGTCTGCAGCTAGGCTAACATTAGCTCATCTGCACTACCTTCTGCATGGTGATGGTCTGCAGCTAGGCTAACATTAGCTCATCTGCACTACCTTCTGCATGGTGACTGTCTGCAGCTAGGCTAACGTTAGCTCATCTGCACTACCTTCTGCATGGTGACGGTCTGCAGCTAGGCTAACGTTAGCTCATCTGCACTACCTTCTGCATGGTGATGGTCTGCAGCTAGGCTAACATTAGCTCATCTGCACTACCTTCTGCATGGTGACTGTCTGCAGCTAGGCTAACGTTAGCTCATCTGCACTACCTTCTGCATGGTGACTGTCTGCAGCTAGGCTAACGTTAGCTCATCTGCACTACCTTCTGCATGGTGACTGTCTGCAGCTAGGCTAACATTAGCTCATCTGCACTACCTTCTGCATGGTGACTGTCTGCAGCTAGGCTAACATTAGCTCATCTGCACTACCTTCTGCATGGTGACGGTCTGCAGCTAGGCTAACATTAGCTCATCTGCACTACCTTCTGCATGGTGACGGTCTGCAGCTAGGCTAACATTAGCTCATCTGCACTACCTTCTGCATGGTGACGGTCTGCAGCTAGGCTAACATTAGCTCATCTGCACTACCTTCTGCATGGTGACGGTCTGCAGCTAGGCTAACATTAGCTCATCTGCACTACCTTCTGCATGGTGACGGTCTGCAGCTAGGCTAACGTTAGCTCATCTGCACTACCTTCTGCATGGTGACTGTCTGCAGCTAGGCTAACATTAGCTCATCTGCACTACCTTCTGCATGGTGATGGTCTGTAGCTAGGCTAACGTTAGCTCATCTGCAGCTAGGCTAACGTTAGCTCATCTGCACTACCTTCTGCATGGTGACGGTCTGCAGCTAGGCTAACGTTAGCTCATCTGCACTACCTTCTGCATGGTGACGGTCTGCAGCTAGGCTAACGTTAGCTCATCTCCACTACCTTCTGCATGGTGACGGTCTGCAGCTAGGCTAACGTTAGCTCATCTGCACTACCTTCTGCATGGTGATGGTCTGCAGCTAGGCTAACGTTAGCTCATCTGTACTACCTTCTGCATGGTGACGGTCTGCAGCTAGGCTAACGTTAGCTCATCTGCACTACCTTCTGCATGGTGACTGTCTGCAGCTAGGCTAACATTAGCTCATCTGCACTACCTTCTGCATGGTGATGGTCTGCAGCTAGGCTAACGTTAGCTCATCTGCACTACCTTCTGCATGGTGACTGTCTGCAGCTAGGCTAACATTAGCTCATCTGCACTACCTTCTTTATGGTGATGGTCTGCGGCTAGGCTAACATTAGCTCATCTGCACTACCTTCTGCATGGTGATGGTCTGCAGCTAGGCTAACATTAGCTCATCTGCACTACCTTCTGCATGGTGATGGTCTGTAGCTAGGCTAACGTTAGCTCATCTGCAGCTAGGCTAACGTTAGCTCATCTGCACTACCTTCTGCATGGTGATGGTCTGCAGCTAGGCTAACATTAGCTCATCTGCACTACCTTCTGCATGGTGATGGTCTGCAGCTAGGCTAACGTTAGCTCATCTGCACTACCTTCTGCATGGTGACGGTCTGCAGCTAGGCTAACGTTAGCTCATCTGCACTACCTCTGCATGGTGACGGTCTGCAGCTAGGCTAACGTTAGCTCATCTCCACTACCTTCTGCATGGTGACGGTCTGCAGCTAGGCTAACGTTAGCTCATCTGCACTACCTTCTGCATGGTGATGGTCTGCAGCTAGGCTAACGTTAGCTCATCTGTACTACCTTCTGCATGGTGACGGTCTGCAGCTAGGCTAACGTTAGCTCATCTGCACTACCTTCTGCATGGTGACTGTCTGCAGCTAGGCTAACATTAGCTCATCTGCACTACCTTCTGCATGGTGACGGTCTGCAGCTAGGCTAACGTTAGCTCATCTGCACTACCTTCTGCATGGTGACTGTCTGCAGCTAGGCTAACATTAGCTCATCTGCACTACCTTCTTTATGGTGATGGTCTGCGGCTAGGCTAACATTAGCTCATCTGCACTACCTTCTGCATGGTGATGGTCTGCAGCTAGGCTAACATTAGCTCATCTGCACTACCTTCTGCATGGTGATGGTCTGCAGCTAGGCTAACGTTAGCTCATCTGCACTACCTTCTGCATGGTGATGGTCTGCAGCTAGGCTAACGTTAGCTCATCTGCACTACCTTCTGCATGGTGACGGTCTGCAGCTAGGCTAACGTTAGCTCATCTGCACTACCTTCTGCATGGTGACGGTCTGCAGCTAGGCTAACGTTAGCTCATCTGCACTACCTTCTGCATGGTGATGGTCTGCAGCTAGGCTAACGTTAGCTCATCTGTACTATCTTCTGCATGGTGACGGTCTGCAGCTAGGCTAACGTTAGCTCATCTGCACTACCTTCTGCATGGTGACTGTCTGCAGCTAGGCTAACATTAGCTCATCTGCACTACCTTCTGCATGGTGACGGTCTGCAGCTAGGCTAACGTTAGCTCATCTGCACTACCTTCTGCATGGTGACTGTCTGCAGCTAGGCTAACATTAGCTCATCTGCACTACCTTCTTTATGGTGATGGTCTGCGGCTAGGCTAACATTAGCTCATCTGCACTACCTTCTGCATGGTGATGGTCTGCAGCTAGGCTAACGTTAGCTCATCTGCACTACCTTCTGCATGGTGACGGTCTGCAGCTAGGCTAACGTTAGCTCATCTCCACTACCTTCTGCATGGTGACGGTCTGCAGATAGGCTAACGTTAGCTCATCTGCACTACCTTCTGCATGGTGACGGTCTGCAGCTAGGCTAACGTTAGCTCATCTGCACTACCTTCTGCATGGTGACGGTCTGCAGCTAGGCTAACGTTAGCTCATCTGCACTACCTTCTGCATGGTGACGGTCTGCAGCTAGGCTAACGTTAGCTCATCTCCACTACCTTCTGCATGGTGACGGTCTGCAGCTAGGCTAACGTTAGCTCATCTGCACTACCTTCTGCATGGTGACGGTCTGCAGCTAGGCTAACGTTAGCTCATCTGCACTACCTTCTGCATGGTGATGGTCTGCAGCTAGGCTAACGTTAGCTCATCTGTACTACCTTCTGCATGGTGACGGTCTGCAGCTAGGCTAACGTTAGCTCATCTGCACTACCTTCTGCATGGTGACTGTCTGCAGCTAGGCTAACATTAGCTCATCTGCACTACCTTCTGCATGGTGACGGTCTGCAGCTAGGCTAACGTTAGCTCATCTGCACTACCTTCTGCATGGTGACTGTCTGCAGCTAGGCTAACATTAGCTCATCTGCACTACCTTCTTTATGGTGATGGTCTGCGGCTAGGCTAACATTAGCTCATCTGCACTACCTTCTGCATGGTGATGGTCTGCAGCTAGGCTAACATTAGCTCATCTGCACTACCTTCTGCATGGTGATGGTCTGCAGCTAGGCTAACGTTAGCTCATCTGCACTACCTTCTGCATGGTGATGGTCTGCAGCTAGGCTAACGTTAGCTCATCTGCACTACCTTCTGCATGGTGACGGTCTGCAGCTAGGCTAACGTTAGCTCATCTGCACTACCTTCTGCATGGTGACGGTCTGCAGCTAGGCTAACGTTAGCTCATCTGCACTACCTTCTGCATGGTGATGGTCTGCAGCTAGGCTAACGTTAGCTCATCTGTACTACCTTCTGCATGGTGACGGTCTGCAGCTAGGCTAACGTTAGCTCATCTGCACTACCTTCTGCATGGTGACTGTCTGCAGCTAGGCTAACATTAGCTCATCTGCACTACCTTCTGCATGGTGACGGTCTGCAGCTAGGCTAACGTTAGCTCATCTGCACTACCTTCTGCATGGTGACTGTCTGCAGCTAGGCTAACATTAGCTCATCTGCACTACCTTCTTTATGGTGATGGTCTGCGGCTAGGCTAACATTAGCTCATCTGCACTACCTTCTGCATGGTGATGGTCTGCAGCTAGGCTACGTTAGCTCATCTGCACTACCTTCTGCATGGTGACGGTCTGCAGCTAGGCTAACGTTAGCTCATCTGCACTACCTTCTGCATGGTGACTGTCTGCAGCTAGGCTAACATTAGCTCATCTGCACTACCTTCTGCATGGTGATGGTCTGCAGCTAGGCTAACGTTAGCTCATCTGCACTACCTTCTGCATGGTGACTGTCTGCAGCTAGGCTAACATTAGCTCATCTGCACTACCTTCTTTATGGTGATGGTCTGCGGCTAGGCTAACATTAGCTCATCTGCACTACCTTCTGCATGGTGATGGTCTGCAGCTAGGCTAACATTAGCTCATCTGCACTACCTTCTGCATGGTGACGGTCTGCAGCTAGGCTAACGTTAGCTCATCAGCACTACCTTCTGCATGGTGACTGTCTGCAGCTAGGCTAACATTAGCTCATCTGCACTACCTTCTGCATGGTGATGGTCTGCAGCTAGGCTAACGTTAGCTCATCTGCCACTACCTTCTGCATGGTGATGGTCTGCAGCTAGGCTAACATTAGCTCATCTGCACTACCTTCTGCATGGTGATGGTCTGCAGCTAGGCTAACATTAGCTCATCTGCACTACCTTCTGCATGGTGATGGTCTGCAGCTAGGCTAACGTAGCTCATCTGCACTACCTTCTGCATGGTGACGGTCTGCAGCTAGGCTAACATTAGCTCATCTGCACTACCTTCTGCATGGTGATGGGTCTGCAGCTAGGCTAACGTTAGCTCATCTGCACTACCTTCTGCATGGTGATGGTCTGCAGCTAGGCTAACATTAGCTCATCTGCACTACCTTCTGCATGGTGACGGTCTGCAGCTAGGCTAACATTAGCTCATCTGCACTACCTTCTGCATGGTGACGGTCTGCAGCTAGGCTAACATTAGCTCATCTGCACTACCTTCTGCATGGTGACGGTCTGCAGCTAGGCTAACATTAGCTCATCTGCACTACCTTCTGCATGGTGATGGTCTGCAGCTAGGCTAACGTTAGCTCATCTGCACTACCTTCTGCATGGTGACGGTCTGCAGCTAGGCTAACATTAGCTCATCTGCACTACCTTCTGCATGGTGATGGTCTGCAGCTAGGCTAACATTAGCTCATCTGCACTACCTTCTGCATGGTGATGGTCTGCAGCTAGGCTAACATTAGCTCATCTGCACTACCTTCTGCATGGTGATGGTCTGCAGCTAGGCTAACGTTAGCTCATCTGCACTACCTTCTGCATGGTGACGGTCTGCAGCTAGGCTAACGTTAGCTCATCTGCACTACCTTCTGCATGGTGACTGTCTGCAGCTAGGCTAACATTAGCTCATCTGCACTACCTTCTGCATGGTGATGGTCTGCAGCTAGGCTAACGTTAGCTCATCTGCACTACCTTCTGCATGGTGACTGTCTGCAGCTAGGCTAACATTAGCTCATCTGCACTACCTTCTTTATGGTGATGGTCTGCGGCTAGGCTAACATTAGCTCATCTGCACTACCTTCTGCATGGTGATGGTCTGCAGCTAGGCTAACATTAGCTCATCTGCACTACCTTCTGCATGGTGACGGTCTGCAGCTAGGCTAACGTTAGCTCATCAGCACTACCTTCTGCATGGTGACTGTCTGCAGCTAGGCTAACATTAGCTCATCTGCACTACCTTCTGCATGGTGATGGTCTGCAGCTAGGCTAACGTTAGCTCATCTGCACTACCTTCTGCATGGTGATGGTCTGCAGCTAGGCTAACATTAGCTCATCTGCACTACCTTCTGCATGGTGATGGTCTGCAGCTAGGCTAACATTAGCTCATCTGCACTACCTTCTGCATGGTGATGGTCTGCAGCTAGGCTAACGTTAGCTCATCTGCACTACCTTCTGCATGGTGACGGTCTGCAGCTAGGCTAACATTAGCTCATCTGCACTACCTTCTGCATGGTGATGGTCTGCAGCTAGGCTAACGTTAGCTCATCTGCACTACCTTCTGCATGGTGATGGTCTGCAGCTAGGCTAACATTAGCTCATCTGCACTACCTTCTGCATGGTGACGGTCTGCAGCTAGGCTAACATTAGCTCATCTGCACTACCTTCTGCATGGTGACGGTCTGCAGCTAGGCTAACATTAGCTCATCTGCACTACCTTCTGCATGGTGACGGTCTGCAGCTAGGCTAACATTAGCTCATCTGCACTACCTTCTGCATGGTGATGGTCTGCAGCTAGGCTAACGTTAGCTCATCTGCACTACCTTCTGCATGGTGACGGTCTGCAGCTAGGCTAACATTAGCTCATCTGCACTACCTTCTGCATGGTGATGGTCTGCAGCTAGGCTAACATTAGCTCATCTGCACTACCTTCTGCATGGTGATGGTCTGCAGCTAGGCTAACATTAGCTCATCTGCACTACCTTCTGCATGGTGACGGTCTGCAGCTAGGCTAATTTGCTGATATGGTAGAAATAAAACAGTTCCTTCATGAAACTGCTCACAGAGAGGTCTGTGTTTTCATGATTTCTGGTGCTGTCACAGTCTAGATAGCGGTTTTAGGGAGGATAGCTGTTTGTCCTCAGGTGAGACGCCTGCACTCACCAGGACAGGTGCCACTCCGGGTGAACAGCCACGTAGATGAGCAGTGAGCCAAAGATCAGTAGGTAGGTCCCGTAGTAAATGGCGTTCTCGATCAGAGCCGTCTTAATTTTGCCCGTAATAGAGAATCCTCCGGAGCGAGCATAGGACTGCATGAAGGGCAGCAGCAGCCTGAAACACAGGTCAGTATACATATATACACACACACACATATACACTTCTACACACACACAGGAACCCACCAGGTGAGGCACTGGGACGTCCAGTACACCACCCTCCAGAACACCGGCATGATGCCGTCAGGGATGTAGCTCCACGGCTTGTAGCATGGCTTCACAGTGCTGTCAGAGAGGAGTCAGCAGAGACATGACTCATAATGACATGATATCATAATAACATATAGTTTGATGTGTTCACACAGCAGAGACGACCCTAGAGGGTACGAGCGCCAGGGACTCACCTCTTGGTGGGCGTGGCAGACATGTTGGCGTCCGTGTGATTGGCTGAAGGGCTGAGGGAGGGGGCGGCCTCTTCGTGGTCTATCTTACACTGCTTATAGATGGTCTGTGGGGACACACAGGGGTTATCAGAGACTGAGGGACAGACAGGGGGTATCAGAGACTGAGGGACAGACAGGGGGTATCAGAGACTGAGGGACAGACGGGGGTATTAGAGACTGAGGGACAGACAGGGGGTATCAGGGACTGAGGGACAGACAGGAGGTATCAGAGATTGAGGGACAGACAGGGGGTATCAGAGACTGAGGGACAGACAGGGGTTATCAGAGACTGAGGGACAGACAGGGGGTATCAGAGACTGAGGGACAGACAGGGGTTATCAGAGACTGAGGGACAGACAGGGGGTATCAGAGACTGAGGGACAGACAGGGGTTGTCAGAGACTGAGGGACAGACAGGGGGTATCAGAGACTGAGGGACAGACAGGGGGTATCAGAGACTGAGGGACAGACAGGGGGTATCAGAGACTGAGGGACAGACAGGGGGGTATCAGAGACTGAGGGACAGACAGGGGTTATCAGAGACTGAGGGACAGACAGGGGTTATCAGAGACTGAGGGACAGACAGGGGGTATCAGAGACTGAGGGACAGACAGGGGGTATCAGAGACTGAGGGACAGACAGGGGGTATCAGAGACTGAGGGACAGACAGGGGTTATCAGAGACTGAGGGACAGACAGGGGGTATCAGAGACTTTGAGGGACAGACAGGGGTTATCAGAGACTGAGGGACAGACAGGGGGTATCAGGGACTGAGGGACAGACAGGAGGTATCAGAGACTGAGGGACAGACAGGGGGTATCAGAGACTGAGGGACAGACAGGGGTTATCAGAGACTGAGGGACAGACAGGGGGTATCAGAGACTGAGGGACAGACAGGGGTTGTCAGAGACTGAGGGACAGACAGGGGTTGTCAGAGACTGAGGGACAGACAGGGGGTATCAGAGACTGAGGGACAGACAGGGGGTATCAGAGACTGAGGGACAGACAGGGGTTATCAGAGACTGAGGGACAGACAGGGGGTATCAGAGACTGAGGGACAGACAGGGGGTATCAGAGACTGAGGGACAGACAGGGGGTATCAGAGACTTTGAGGGACAGACAGGGGGTATCAGAGACTGAGGGACAGACAGGGGGTATCAGGGACTGAGGGACAGACAGGGGTTATCAGAGACTGAGGGACAGACAGGGGGTATCAGAGACTTTGAGGGACAGACAGGGGGTATCAGAGACTGAGGGACAGACAGGGGTATCAGAGACTGAGGGACAGACAGGGGGTATCAGGGACTGAGGGACAGACAGGGGTTATCAGAGACTGAGGGACAGACAGGGGGGTATCAGAGACTTTGAGGGACAGACAGGGGTTATCAGAGACTGAGGGACAGACAGGGGGTATCAGGGACTGAGGGACAGACAGGGGGTATCAGAGACTGAGGGACAGACAGGGGGTATCAGAGACTTTGAGGGATAGACAGGGGTTATCAGAGACTGAGGGACAGACAGGGGGTATCAGGGACTGAGGGACAGACAGGGGGTATCAGGGACTCTGAGGGACAGACAGGGGGTATCAGGGTCACTGAGGGACAGACAGGGGGTATCAGGGACTCTGAGGGACAGACAGGGGGTATCAGGCACTCTGAGGGACAGACAGGGGGGTATCAGGGACTGAGGGACAGACAGGGGGTATCAGGGACTCTGAGGGACAGACAGGGGGTATCAGGCACTCTGAGGGACAGACAGGGGGTATCAGGGACTCTGAGGGACAGACAGGGGGTATCAGGGACTCTGAGGGACAGACAGGGGGTATCAGGGACTCTGAGGGACAGACAGGGGGTATCAAGGAGTCTGAGGGACAGACAGGGGGGTATCAGGGACTCTGAGGGACAGACAGGGGGTATCAGGGACTCTGAGGGACAGACAGGGAGTATCAGGGACTCTTAGGGACAGACAGGGGGTATCAGAGACTCTGAGGGACAGACAGGGGGTATCAGGGACTCTGAGGGACAGACAGGGGGTATCAGAGACTCTGAGGGACAGACAGGGGGTATCAGGGACTCTGAGGGACAGACAGGGGGTATCAGGGACTCTGAGGGACAGACAGGGGGTATCAGGGACTCTGAGGGACAGACAGGGGGTATCAGAGACTGAGGGACAGACAGGGGTATCAGAGACTTTGAGGGACAGACAGGGGGTATCAGAGACTGAGGGACAGACAGGGGGTATCAGGGACTGAGGGACAGACAGGGGTTATCAGAGACTGAGGGACAGACAGGGGGTATCAGAGACTTTGAGGGACAGACAGGGGGTATCAGAGACTGAGGGACAGACAGGGGGTATCAGAGACTGAGGGACAGACAGGGGGTATCAGGGACTGAGGGACAGACAGGGGTTATCAGAGACTGAGGGACAGACAGGGGGTATCAGGCACTCTGAGGGACAGACAGGGGGTATCAGGGACTGAGGGACAGACAGGGGGTATCAGGGACTCTGAGGGACAGACAGGGGGTATCAGGCACTCTGAGGGACAGACAGGGGGTATCAGGGACTCTGAGGGACAGACAGGGGGTATCAGGGACTCTGAGGGACAGACAGGGGGTATCAGGGACTCTGAGGGACAGACAGGGGGTATCAGGGACTCTGAGGGGACAGACAGGGGGTATCAGGGACTCTGAGGGACAGACAGGGGGTATCAGGGACTCTGAGGGACAGACAGGGAGTATCAGGGACTCTTAGGGACAGACAGGGGGTATCAGAGACTCTGAGGGACAGACAGGGGGTATCAGGGACTCTGAGGGACAGACAGGGGGTATCAGAGACTCTGAGGGACAGACAGGGGGTATCAGGGACTCTGAGGGACAGACAGGGGGTATCAGGGACTCTGAGGGACAGACAGGGGGTATCAGGGACTCTGAGGGACAGACAGGGGGTATCAGGGACTCTGAGGGACAGACAGGGAGTATCAGGGACTCTTAGGGACAGACAGGGGGTATCAGGGACTCTGAGGGACAGACAGGGGGTATCAGGGACTCTGAGGGACAGACAGGGGGTATCAGGGACTCTGAGGGACAGACAGGGGGTATCAGGGACTCTGAGGGACAGACAGGGGGTATCAGGGACTCTGAGGGACAGACAGGGGGTATCAGGGACTCTTAGGGACAGACCGTGCTGACGTCCAGCGGCAGGATGAAGACGATGAGGAAGCACAGGTACCAGGCCAGCAGGGTGCCGAACAGAACCATGCGCTGCTGCTTCCTGAAGTCTCCATACCGGTGCAGGAGGAAGAGGGCGAGGAAGAAGACCACCACGATCTCTAGAGCCAGAGCCAGAGCACTCATGCTGCTGCTGCAACACATACATATAACTATTATATATAACTATATACATCAGGTATAACTATACATATCATATATACTATACATATATAATAGGGGTCCAGTGTTTCCCCTATATACAAATAGTGGCGGCGCAGCGCCGCTGCTGAAATATGCGCGCCGCTGCTGAAATATGCGCGCCGCTGCTCGGGGGCGTCAGCCAGGTACCCAAAAAAAATAAATAAATAAATAGTTTTATTTTTAACTTTTTTTTTTTAATTAAAAATAATAATAATTGGCGACCCTTTTTCATTTTGGATTGTTTGTTATGTGGATCTGTAGTATTTGTGTTACTGTATGTTCAATAAAGGTGTATTTTGGCTAAAGCTTGAGACATTGCCACTGTATACTGGCAGGGCCGATTTTTGGCATAGGCGACATATGGGGGGGGGATCTGGGGGGCGCTGCGCTGGCAGCTCTGGGAGGGGAACAAACATTTTTAACCGTTGGCGCTCATCCTAATTTTCGGCCTTGATGTAACAACATTCATAATTAAGTAAATGTAACACCCTTTTCACCCCGGTTACACTTTTCATTTGCCCTGTACGAATTATACACAAATTACTAATGATGTAAACACATATTTCCAAGGCACTCCTTTATAATTATTAGGATCAATAAAAACAGGTTTGAAATCATTCCAGTGTATACTATAGGACAGAAAACCAGACATATCGTTTAAAGTTGGAGAGATACAAACATATGCATAAATAAATAAATGTTAACTGGGTAAAATAAGATATGAATGAACAACAAAAATAAAATAAGTTACATGTATTTGTTATTGGCTATGGGTTATTGGTTATGTTCACATACTTATTGATTAATAAAATGCAAATCTTTTTCATATGGGTGTTTAGAGTTCCCCTAGATCAGGTCTCTAGTAATTGTGTGCTCAAACTGCACCAGATTGAAGCATTTTACTTTAAAATGTTCAAAAAAATCTTCCCGGGGGGGCAGACCCCCGGACCCCCCTAGAGGATGTGACGTCCACCCCCCAATTAAAACATGTTCAAACAATACTGAATACATTTGAAGCCATTTTGACATCTATTACCTATGTCAATAAGTTTCTGTTTTTGTAGTGTATTTGTCTTTTGTAGAGATTTTTCATTTATTCTTTATATATAAAATCTCGCCTAGGGCAGCAAATAGTCTAGACCCGGCCCTGGTGCTAGGCCTCAAGAGCCTTTCTTGTGCTGGCAGACACATAGAAACAAATAGTCTAGAACCGGCCCTGGTGCTAGGCCTCAAGAGCCTTTCTTGTGCTGGCAGACACATAGAAACTAATAGTCTAGAACCGGCCCTGGTGCTAGGCCTCAAGAGCCTTTCTTGTGCTGGCAGACACATAGAAACTAATAGTCTAGACCCGGCCCTGGTGCTAGGCCTCAAGAGCCTTTCTTGTGCTGGCAGACACATAGAAACAAATAGTCTAGACCCGGCCCTGGTGCTAGGCCTCAAGAGCCTTTCTTGTGCTGGCAGACACATAGAAACTAATAGTCTAGAACCGGCCCTGGTGCTAGGCCTCAAGAGCCTTTCTTGTGCTGGCAGACACATAGAAACTAATAGTCTAGACCCGGCCCCTGGTGCTAGGCCTCAAGAGCCTTTCTTGTGCTGGCAGACACATAGAAACTAATAGTCTAGAACCGGCCCTGGTGCTAGGCCTCAAGAGCCTTTCTTGTGCTGGCAGACACATAGAAACTAATAGTCTAGACCCGGCCCTGGTGCTAGGCCTCAAGAGCCTTTCTTGTGCTGGCAGACACATAGAAACTAATGGCGCATTTCCATTGCAGCGCGTAGCTCGCTTTAAGCGTGCCGTGTCGTGCCGTCCCCTTTTTTGGTTGTGCTTCCACTAGGCCTCGTTCCGGCGCGGCACGGCGCGGGGCCACTTTTTCCCCTCTTTTCTAGCCCTAGAAAATTGTGGTTCTAACGGGGCCAACAAACAGGACTGAGTCGGGCTGAGTATGCTAAACTAGAGAGAGGAGCGCTGGCAAGAGGGCTAGAACTACAACAAGATGGACATATTTGACCGTGATTTAATTGTAATACACGTTTCAAAATGATGCCGAAGTAACAACATACTGATACCGGTTAGTAAAAACCATGAATTAATGCTTTGTCAAGTCTGCAGACAGACGGCAGGCGAAAAACCTTTTAAAATTCGTGTTTTTCTAGATGGAGATTGGCTAAGCTAACGCAGTATATGCCCCGACCGTCCACACTCACAACAACGGCCTATACAGACATAAATAAAGCAGCGACTGTATTCACCATGACACAGGCAGTCTGTGGTGTGTACTTGTTTAACTTTTGTCGAGTTTCTGAACATATATAAGGAGCTGTGAGCTCTGAGTGCTCACAGCTAACGGCTGTGTTGTGTTTCTGGATTTCTCATTGAAGATGACGTCACGGCTCCGCCTACACTGCGTTACTATAGTAACTACCCCAGTTCCTAAACTGTAATGGAAGCGCAGCATGAAGTGAGTCGGCCCTGTTAAGGCCCAACGCGGCCAAGCCGTACCGAGCCGTACCGAGTGTGGCCGAGGCCGACCGTGTAGTGGAAATGTGCCATAATAGTCTAGACCCGGCCCTGGTGCTAGGCCTCAAGAGCCTTTCTTGTGCTGGCAGACACATAGAAACTAATAGTCTAGAACCGGCCCTGGTGCTACGCCTCAAGAGCCTTTCTTGTGCTGGCAGACACATAGAAACAAATAGTCTAGAACCGGCCCTGGTGCTAGGCCTCAAGAGCCTTTCTTGTGCTGGCAGACACATAGAAACTAATAGTCTAGAACCGGCCCTGGTTGCTAGGCCTCAAGAGCCTTTCTTGTGCTGGCAGACACATAGAACTAATAGTCTAGACCCGGCCCTGGTGCTAGGCCTCAAGAGCCTTTCTTGTGCTGGCAGACACATAGAAACTAATAGTCTAGACCCGGCCCTGGTGCTAGGCCTCAAGAGCCTTTCTTGTGCTGGCAGACACATAGAAACAAATAGTCTAGAACCGGCCCTGGTGCTAGGCCTCAGAGCCTTTCTTGTGCTGGCAGACACATAGAAACTAATAGTCTAGACCCGGCCCTGGTGCTAGGCCTCAAGAGCCTTTCTTGTGCTGGCAGACAAATAGAAACTAATAGTCTAGAACCGGCCCTGGTGCTAGGCCTCAAGAGCCTTTCTTGTGCTGGCAGACAAATAGAAACAAATAGTCTATAACCGGCCCTGGTGCTAGGCCTCAAGAGCCTTTCTTGTGCTGGCAGACACATAGAAACTAATAGTCTAGACCCGGCCCTGGTGCTAGGGCCTCAAGAGCCTTTCTTGTGCTGGCAGACACATAGAAACTAATAGTCTAGACCCGGCCCTGGTGCTAGGCCTCAAGAGCCTTTCTTGTGCTGGCAGACACATAGAAACTAATAGTCTAGACCCGGCCCTGGTGCTCGGCCTCAAGAGCCTTTCTTGTGCTGGCAGACACATAGAAACTAATAGTCTAGAAACCGGCCCTGGTGCTAGGCCTCAAGAGCCTTTCTTGTGCTGGCAGACACATAGAAACTAATAGTCTAGAACCGGCCCTGGTGCTAGGCCTCAAGAGCCTTTCTTGTGCTGGCAGACACATAGAAACTAATAGTCTAGAACCGGCCCTGGTGCTAGGCCTCAAGAGCCTTTCTTGTGCTGGCAGACACATAGAAACAAATAGTCTAGAACCGGCCCTGGTGCTAGGCCTCAAGAGCCTTTCTTGTGCTGGCAGACACATAGAAACTAATAGTCTAGAACCGGCCCTGGTGCTAGGCCTCAAGAGCCTTTCTTGTGCTGGCAGACACATAGAAACTAATAGTCTAGAACCGGCCCTGGTGCTAGGCCTCAAGAGCCTTTCTTGTGCTGGCAGACACATAGAAACTAATAGTCTAGAACCGGCCCTGGTGCTACGCCTCAAGAGCCTTTCTTGTGCTGGCAGACACATAGAAACTAATAGTCTAGAACCGGCCCTGGTGCTAGGCCTCAAGAGCCTTTCTTGTGCTGGCAGACACATAGAAACTAATAGTCTAGAACCGGCCCTGGTGCTACGCCTCAAGAGCCTTTCTTGTGCTGGCAGACACATAGAAACTAATAGTCTAGACCCGGCCCTGGTGCTAGGCCTCAAGAGCCTTTCTTGTGCTGGCAGACACATAGAAACTAATAGTCTAGAACCGGCCCTGGTGCTAGGCCTCAAGAGCCTTTCTTGTGCTGGCAGACACATAGAAACTAATAGTCTAGACCCGGCCCTGGTGCTAGGCCTCAAGAGCCTTTCTTGTGCTGGCAGACACATAGAAACTAATAGTCTAGAACCGGCCCTGGTGCTACGCCTCAAGAGCCTTTCTTGTGCTGGCAGACACATAGAAACTAATAGTCTAGACCCGGCCCTGGTGCTAGGCCTCAAGAGCCTTTCTTGTGCTGGCAGACACATAGAAACTAATTGGCGGGGCGCACTTCGCACACACAGGTTGATATTATGTGAAGCTCATTAGCTAGCCAACATGCATCTAGCTAATGTTAGCAACATATTAGAAGTGAGGCTACTAGACTAACGTTAGGTCTACTGTCATAGCCTCACTTTGAATATTTTGCAAAACATTAGCTAGCACTAGTGTTTTGCAGTTGCTAGCAGCTTATTGGGATGTGATGCTAGATAGACAGGCATTGTTTTGATATAATAAATGAAGCATTATTGTTAGTTAAGCATGTCAGCCCCACTTTGAACTCTCTGTCTCTCTAACTCATTGCAGATGGCTGCACTAAAGAAAAGGGCACAGAGAGGAAACCAGTTGTAAGATGTTTAAAAGTTCATTAAACATAATATATGATTAAATGCATTTCAAAGAAGTTGTGTTGGAGTTTGTTATTCTACATTTTGACACCAAGATTTTCTGATTTTACTGCAAATGTATATCGGTTCCAAATATCGGTTATCGGTCTCCTTGATTACTAATAATCGGTATCGGCCTTGAAAAAGCCATATCGGTCGATCCCTAATATATAAACTACACACATCTATAACTATACATATATAACTACACACATCTATAACTACACACATCTATAACTTTACACATCATATATAACTATACATATATAACTATACACATCATATATAACTATACATATATAACTATACTATATAAACTATACACATCATATAAAAATCATATATAAACTATACACATCATATATAACTATACATATATAACTATGCACATCATATATAACTATACATATATAACTATACACATCATATATAACTATACATATATAACTATACATATATAACTATACACATCATATATAACTACACACATCATATATAACTTTAAATATAATATATATAACAACAAAGCCTTTAGTAAAAACAATAACAATCACCGCTGATCACCATGAGAGACAGGTGAGCAGGAGACATGAGGAGCAACTGAGAGACAGGTGAGCAGGAGACATGAGGAGCAGCTGAGAGACAGGTGAGCAGGAGACATGAGGAGCAACTGAGAGACATGAGGAGCAGCTGAGAGACAGGTGAGCAGGAGACATGAGGAGCAACTGAGAGACAGGTGAGCAGGAGACATGAGGAGCAACTGAGAGACAGGTGAGCAGGAGACATGAGGAGCAACTGAGAGACATGAGGAGCAGCTGAGAGACAGGTGAGCAGGAGACATGAGGAGCAACTGAGAGACAGGTGAGCAGGAGACATGAGGAGCAGCTGAGAGACAGGTGAGCAGGAGACATGAGGAGCAGCTGAGAGACAGGTGAGCAGGAGACATGAGGAGCAACTGAGAGACAGGTGAGCAGGAGACATGAGGAGCAGCTGAGAGACAGGTGAGCAGGAGACATGAGGAGCAACTGAGAGACAGGTGAGCAGGAGACATGAGGAGCAGCTGAGAGACAGGTGAGCAGGAGACATGAGGAGCAGCTGAGAGACAGGTGAGCAGGAGACACATGAGGAAGCAGCTGAGAGGACAGGTGAGCAGGAGACATGAGGAGCAATGAGAGGACAGGTGAGCAGGAGACATGAGGAGCAGCTGAGAGACAGGTGAGCAGGAGACATGAGGAGCAACTGAGAGACAGGTGAGCAGGAGACATGAGGAGCAGCTGAGAGACAGGTGAGCAGGAGACATGAGGAGCAACTGAGAGACATGAGGAGCAGCTGAGAGACAGGTGAGCAGGAGACATGAGGAGCAATTGAGAGACAGGTGAGCAGGAGACATGAGGAGCAGCTGAGAGACACAATTTAAACCAACACAGATTCGTTGAGTGTGAAAGTGATTCTGATAATAAATGTAATTATCACCGAAGATACGGCTAATGTTAGCTTCGTTAGCTCTCTGTTAGCTACCTGATGCTAACACCGCTTTAACAGATATCTTCGAACATATTAAAAGCTGTTTATATAAAGACTCTTACCGGAGTGAAACGGCTCTTCCAGACCTTTTGGGGTGTATGCTACGCAAATGAATAACTGTGTTTTCCTCCGTGTTCTATCATTAAAGGTAAAATAATATAATAATAAACAACAGCAGTTTACAGTCACATCCGGGTTCTCCAACCGGGATGGAGGATGACGTCAGATGTGTGTAACCTCTGCGCATGCGCGTTTCGTTTGTCCTCACATGCTAACGGATTATAATCAAAAAGAGAAATATGAACGTTAGTTTTTACTGAAATGATGAAATAAAGTCAACATTTCACAGTCTTTACTGAGCTGTGTGGGGTTTGTTCAACTTTTAAAAGATGTTTGAATGGTGATATACACAGTGATAGATGTTAAGGACTAACGTTTATAATAAATACATTTGTATTGATTTTAAGATCTTTTCATACAATCATACGTATTGGGATCATTTGTATTAATGTGGACCGGAGGGAGAGGGTGATGAGCATAAGTTTCACTTTCCTTTTTTATTTCAATTCCAACTTTGGTCATGAAGAATATGTTTCTCTGTTGTCCCCGTTCATAAAGCATAACAGCATCAGAGCACGGTGCAGAGTCTCTAGATGAGTTTACAGTAGTCCCTCGTTCTTATTAAACATCCATGTTGTAGTCCGCTGTATAGAAAACTGTAGTTTCCATAGTTTCCCCACAGCAGCAGACGCACATTCATGACGTCCGCTGGCGCATCATAAACACGTCAGATAGTGGAAGTGCAGTCGATTCTCTAAAGTACCGCAGTCTCTTCTCCTAAGTCCTTTTGAATTCTCCTATCCACTATCCCTTAACCCCGTGACCTTTCACTCAGAGGTCAAGGGTTAGACGATAGGGTTAGAATTTAGGAGCTGATTTTTGGATTATCCGACCGCAACCCTACTTTCCTCCTACAGACAGAATGGGACATGTAATAATACAATAAAATGATATCTCACGCTATAAATCTGTAGCTCACTGTTCCTCAGGCTCACACATATAGTCACACAATTAAATAACCTGTATTAACATTCCACAACTAGGGTTAGGGGGTTAGGTTAAGGGGCTACTTACCACTAGGAGTGGAGGGTCAGTGTGGTATTTTGTATGTATGCAAGTAGGTAGAAAGTATGAGCCTCCAGGCATCTCAACTCTCTGTCCAACAGCGCCCTCTGGCTACAGTAACAGGACACAACAGTTAGGTTAGGGGTTAGGGTTTTTGGGAGCGCAGCGTGGTGCACGGGCTCTCGGCAGTGGCGGCGCCAGGGTATGGCTGGGGTAGGCTACAGCCATACCAAGAAATGGCTTAGCCCCACCTTAGCCCCACCATGTAAAGTGATGTTAAAGTAAGCAAATTCAATTAAATAATAAGCTAAATGCAAAATGTTGAGAACACGGATTGCGAAAATATACGGGTCGTGTCCACAACACACAAACTGATCCTGCTGTAACAACAAGTGCACGTTACTGATGCAATATGGTTGAGACCATTCGGGCTTATAGAAGAGGGGTGCAAGGAATAGTCTAAGTAGTGGGGGAGTTTTAAACACTAAAGGTGTGGAAATTCTCTGGCGTTATAATATCAGCGCGGCCGCGGTCAGATCAAAATGCCTCCGAATGCAATTTGAATAGACCTACAGCCAATCAGAGCAACGCAACGTTGGATCTGCGTCATGCCTTACTGATTGAGATCAGTCGAAACCGCCATTCAGTATCCCCATTGGATCTTCAACGTGTACTATCATACGTCCGTTCACAGTGATCCCTTTTTATTTACTACAAGACAAATGTGCCGTTTTATTTCATACAGTTCCATTTTGATTGAGACAGGGAAATAATCTAAACGTATGGCATTACTGTTTCACGGGGTGCGATATAGCGTGTATGTAATTCAATTGCAAATACTGACTTGAGCACCACCACTGTATGGGTTAGCCCTACCATAGATTACCCAACAAAAATACCCTGGCGCCGCCATTGGCTCTCGGGTTAGTATTTTTGTTTAAAAACCTGTTTAAAAACTCTTGTAATAAAAGTTTATAAAAGGCCTGTTTGGTCGGTGTTAAAAAATGAAATGAAATAAAATAAAAGAGAGCAGCGTATGAAGCACAGAGCGTGTGTGGGGGGTTAAAACCTGTACCCCTGCCCCCCCGAGGGGTTTCCCCCTGTGGGGTGTCCTAAAACCTAACCCCTGATAATAGTGATACTAATTAAACTAATTTGAAAACATGAAGAGTTAACCGAGGAGGTCAGAGGTCAGCAGCCATGTTAATGTGCAGCAGTGCTTTTTGCTTGTATCAGGTTGCATTCGAATAGTCCCTTTAGCTCAGGAACCTTCCTAACGGAGTGAAATGACCCGGAGGTCCCTCAGTGGCAGCCATGATAACAGCCGTTCCAATTCTCTAAAATGAAAGGAAAGGAGGTTTCAAACTTCCTTTATAACCTCCTTTAGCTTAGGAACCACTGGACCTCCCTAACCGACAGGAGAGGAGAAAATGCTGCCCCACAATGCCTTGCGGCCGCGGCATTTAAGACGAGGGAATGTCCGGTCGTTCACGGAAACAACCGATCATGACGGACAAACGAAGATCATGTAAGTTACCGCTGCTCTCTTAAGCTTTTACATTCTTACGCCATAACTTGGCAAAATGCTTATATGAAATGACTGTTGTGAAATTATCCAGGTAAAGTTAACACCGTACTAAAACCTTTATGCTCAGTTTGCATTAGGCTATTTAATTATTAGTTTCCAGCGTTGTACCATGCAAGCCTAATATGATGTATTTATTTCAGTCACAGATGCAGAAACCCGTGCACTAATTAGTGAACGGGTGAACATGGAGCACATGTTTAGTGGCAAACGAAATGCTGCCAAATCAGGCTGGGAGTAAGTACATCTATATGTGTCTGATAAAATGTTTGACTAAATGTGCATGGTGAATTAAGATCATTTGTAACTAAAGGCAGGTTGTGAAAGACATGGGTCTGGAGGGCCAGGTGACTGGTCCACAGGCCTCAAAGAAATGGGACAACCTGAAGACAAAATACAATACAACAGTTACTTTCAACAATATTTGTGCTAAAAATGCTAAAAAATGACTTGTGTAATGACAAACACTACATGCAAAATGACAGACCCACTCCAGTGAAATATATCAGCCAAATGTTTATTTAACAACCAAAAACTTGCCTCAGAGGGCTTTCTAATGTGTACAGTGTACGACACCCTCTGTCCTTAGACCCTTGCAGCCAATGAGGAACAACTCCCAAAAAACCCCCCCTTTTAACAGGGGGAAGACATGGAAGAAACCTCAGGGAGAGCAACAGAGCAGGGATCCCTCTCCCAGGACGGACAGACGTGCAATAGGTGTCGTACGTACAAATAAACATGACAAAAATAAAACATAACGAGGTGAACATCAACAAAAAAGATGGAGCTTAGTTGCTTCCAACTGGAAAATGCTGCTGCAGCAGGAGTAGCAACAATCCAAGCATGGCAACCTGCACCACAAGAGACACAATAACGTGCATTAGTAACATGTATTTATGGGGAATGATTGCATATTAAAAAAAATGAATGATGTACGAAAGCCATTAATGTAGTTACTATATAACGAAATAATCATGCTCATTTAGGTGTGGAGGACGCTGATGTGGGGCTGACACGTGTGCTGCCAGTCTGTCCCTATAGTGCTGACCAGCATGTTCATCCCTCTGCACAGGTCCCTGTGGAGGTAGCAGCACTGGATCCTCTCCCTCAGTTGGCTCCAGGATGTCTCCAGCAGTGAGGCAGATGTTGTGGAGCACTGCACATACTGCCATCACCTTGGGGGAAAAGCTGTGATCCACTTCCAGGGCCTTGAAGAAGATCCCTCTCCACCGTGCCTTCATCATCCCAAAAGCCCTCTCCACAACCGATCGGGCTCTGGCATGGTGTCGGTTGAAGCGTGCCTCCACTCTACCCCTCAACGGTTCCCGGTATGGTGTGATGAGGTTAAGAGGTTCCCTCAGGCACGGGGTAACCTCCATCCCCCACAATGTAATGGCCAGCTGGTGGGTAACAGCCCCTCACAAACACTGGACTGTTCCTGAGCACCCTGGTGTCGTGGACCGAACCAGGGTAGCCAACAAAAATGTCCAGGAATTTGCCATAACTGTCACAGATTCCCTGAAGCTGGACAGAGAAGAACAGTTTCCTGTTCAGGTAATCCTGGGCATGGGGGCTATTGGGAGCCTTGATGCGGATGTGGCATCCATCTATAGCTCCCACACAGTGGCTGAAGGCTGGGCTGTTGGCAAGGCGATGAAAGCCATTGCCAACTTCAGCACACTGTGCCTGTGTGGGGAAATGGATGACCTTCTCCAACAGACATAATATTGCCTCACACATCCTGTGGACAATATCAAAAACTGTGGTCTTGGGCACATCAAAAACCCTGGAGACAACCGAATAGGACAACCCATGTGCCAGCCAGTAGACCACCAGGAGGACCTCCACATGCTGAACCCAGCCATGGCTCTTCTCCCTCCTGAGAAGGGTCCTCAGGGCCTCAATGGATTCCCTTGACAGGCGGTAGTCTAATGTAAGGTCTATGGACTGATCCATATATATTTGTATTACAGGGACATGGTGGTTGAGGTTGGCATAGATGTCTCCTGTAGAAGACAAAACAGGTGTAAATAGTAAAAGGTTGAAATACATCAATATTGTGGCTGTCTTTTTTTTTATACAATGATGCATATTTGTTGTGTAAGGCAAGCACATGGGAGGAGATAGCCTTCAAGTGTGCTCTAAATAACCAATACTGGAAATATGTTTGTTGGCTATAAACCATAACACAATTTTCTGTCAGAAAGTCCTCAAAGCTAACTTCACCCAAGTACACAAAAACACATGAAATATACAGGAACAGTTTCAGCTATACTCTTGATAGTATGTGCAATGTAAGCATGCTCTGTAATATATGATTAAAACCTGTATCAGAATCCACTTACCTCTTGTAAACACACTGCCAGCCTCTGCAGGCGTGCTCTCCTTCTCTGAATATTTACTCCGTTGTTTTGCAACGCAGCAGCCACAAGCTCCATTTCTGCCATCCTTGCTCTGAAACTGTGATACTGCCCACCTGCTCTTATATAGGACACTAAAGGGTCATTCAGCA